ATCTGAATAATGACGAATTTAATGCAAGCCGCTTCATATAATAGATATTGTCGGTGGTACAATTCCAAAAAGGCTCGAAGCAAATGATAACTGCGTGTTACTCTAATTTAACCGGGAAAAAACTGTTTATGTGCCCAAGGTCGTGTTAAAAGACGACTTCAACTACCTCAATCTGCATGGATAACGAGCCGATAATTCTCTAAAAACAGGTCTAAGGCGCTTGTTAAGCGTATAATTGTCTAATTATTTCAGGGAGCGAAGAAAGAGGAAATCGCCGATTCCGATCTTCAAATTGGCTACTTTCTCTCGGTTCATGTTTTTGTCCTCTTGCGATCCTGCAGGTGTTGCAGGTCTCTTTGTTGTTGTGCGAACAGATTAGAGGTGTTAGTATCGAAGAGTCTCTTAACCCCGGAACATTTGTGTTCCTGTTCATATACGTTCCCTGAATTACAGAAATGTACCTCTTCAATATCGTGTTTATCTCGGTGTTTATAATTGCATTGGCGAGACCCCTTGTGGTATATTTAGTAAGGTCCTAAGATCTTTTTCAAGTAGCACGAGTGCTTGTACAGTATCTGCGCTCTAATATTTCAATCACTTAAGGTACATAAGTGATTTTGTAGCGCTTGAGAGAATGTAATTGAGAAAATGTGTATGGTTTTCTCAAACTAGAGAATATTTCTTTACATTCCACATGGTTTAACATTCACCTTAGTTCTAAAAAGACCCCTAAATATTTGTTTTGATAATTTCAATGATGTTACCCAAACAGTATACAGGGTTGTTCACCACATACGACACGGAGTATTGTAGCTAAACGATGAGATTTTTACAAATTGTAAGTTTTGGGTTCGATGAAGGACTATTAGAGGTACAATTTAAAAATAATTTTACAAGATACAGAGTGTCCCAAATAAGTAAGAAATATCAAAGTTGTATTTTTTTAAATGGAACACCCTGTATATTATTACATTTTTAGTTTCTACGATTAAAATAAAGGAAAATTTGATTAAGATTTATTATAATTAAACCTTACCGTTTTTGAAATATTTTCAATTTTGTGAAATTGCAGTAAAAATTTTAAGGCTTCATTTCTCCAAGGGTATCAAAGTTTTTAATACTAAATATTTACTGAAGTTTATTTACTGATCAGTTATTGAGTTGCAATAAAAAAAATGATACTACCTTATACAGAGTGTCTAAAAATTTATTTTAAATAATTATTAGCTTCAAACGGCAATATCTTGTTTAATTTAAATGGAACACCCTGTATATTTTACGAGAATCATGCACAATTTAATTGTCTATCAAATTATATTATACCATTTATTTTTTTCAAACCTATCTCTTTAAGTTTCCGCAGAAAATGCATTTTCTTGTAATTTAGAACTTATTTATCAATATACCCATGGACTATTGACATTTTAGATTATTTTTAAAGATGTACCAAATTTTTAAAGAGTACAGATACTAATATTGTCGATATAATTCGTTTATTTCATTAAAAAAATAAAAAAAACTGTTTAAATATTTGTTAAAGAGGATCAGTTAATATGATTCCAGTATTCAAACAACATTAACTGACTGTTTGCTTTGATTAATAATAATTGCTCCAAATACTAAAAAACTGAATTTTGTATGGGCATTAGACAGTGTGATAAAAAGTAACACCTTAAAAATGATATTTCATTTTTTAATAAATGCTTATTTATAACTACAGAGACTTTAATTTGATAACTTATTATTATATTGATTTCTGACTCAAATCCACATTTATTTATAATAATTTAATAACGAACACAATTAAGTATGTAATTAATTAGTATATGGGCGCAAATAATGGTGTTATATTTAATTAATGGTATACTCTTTTATAAAGATTTAAATAGTTTTCTTTTTGCATACAAATGGGCTAGTAATATTATCGTTTTGCTAAAAACGATAATATTACTAGTCTGTACATTTTGTACATTTGTTGCTTTAAAAACAATCTAAAATGTCAATATTCCATTGATATATTGATAAATGAGGTCTAAATTATAAGAAAATGCATTTTATACGAAAACTTGAAGGGATAGGTAAAAAATGGTATAATACAATTTGATAGACAATTTAATTGTGCATCTGATTCTCCTAAAATATACAGGGCATTCCATTTAAATTAAAGAAGTTATTGCCGTTTGAAGCTAATAATTATTTAAAATAAATTTTTAGACACTCTGTATAAGGTAGTATTATTTTTATTATTGCAACACAATAACTGATCAATAAATAAACTTCATTAAATACTTAGTATTAAAAACATTGATACCCTTGGAGAAATGAAGCTTTAAAATTTTTACTGCAATTTCACAAAATTGAAAATATTTCAAAAACGGTAAGGTTTAAGTATAATAAACCCTAATCAAATTTACCTTTATTTTAATCGTAGAAACTAAAAATGTAATAATATACAGGGTGTTCCATTTTAAAAAATACAACTTTGATATTTTTTATTTATTTGGGACACTCTGTATCTTGTAAAAATATTTTTAAATTGTAGCTCTAATAGTCCTTCAACGAACCCCAAACTTACAATTTGTAAAAATCTCATCGTTTAGCTACAATACTCCGTGTCGTATGTGGTGAACAACCCTGTATATGTATGTAAATCGGAGAAGAACTACTGAAATATTGAAATTCACTCGGCCAATATCGACTCTGATATTCAGCACCGAATTAGCAGCGCCTCAAGAGCATTCTGGAAATTACAAGACAGGTTTTTCTACAATCATGACTTGAGCACAAAAACGACACTTGCAGTGTTAGCGAGCAATCATAATCCCCACCATGTTATATGGAAGCGAAACTTGGGTTCCGTCTCGCGTCACACGAACGCATTAAACAAGTTGCAACAGAGATATCTTAGCCAATTATTAAGAATCAAATGGTACCACCATGCCTTAAACGTATCGGTAATTGAAAAAACTAGCTGCGAGAGCACTGAAGTCATGATTACTAAAACCCGCTTAAGACGAGCTGGTCATGTATGCAGGATTCAAGAAAACCGCCTACCGAAATCTCTTCTTTACGGTGAGAGCTTGTAGACGGTAAGAGGAAACCGGGTGGACAACTCAAAAGGTACAAGGATATTTTTCATGAAAACTTAAAAGGGCTAAGCATGCAGAATTAGTGGGAGGAAGCAGCGCCCAATAGCGACACCCAAAAAGTAAACAAGTAATAAAGCAATGCGATTTTTGAATGTCCGGAGTGCGGAAGAGAGTAGTCACAGAAAAGCTCATGGAAGAGAACGTATAACCATCTTCTGATGCGTTTCAAATACCTACTCGTCAAAGAGTAATGGCAGTAATATAGTATACCTGTATGTAGTACATGAAAGTAGCAGGTTTAATAGATGAATCATACGGGAGAGCTATGAGTCAGTATAGTAAATGTTACAAATAGATTTTGGAGGTGTAACATTTGGTTTGTAAACAAAAATATCTACACGGATGCTGATGAGCTAGAGATGACCTGCAAACTGAACTGACAGTAAAACCTATGGAAAATCTCATAATACGATTATTAGCTGTAATATGTTAGCTGTAGCAAATGTTAGCTGTAATATATTATATTTGGCTTAGATATATTATTTTCATTTCAGTAGTATACATGAAAGTTTTTAAAATAATTTATTTTTTTTCTACACAAATTTTCCTACAAACGTAAAAATTGGTAACACTGTATGCCGCTATGTCGGTCTTTTGCCGGTATCTCGGTCATTTATATTTATTTCTGTCGTACGTTTTAAAATACAGACCACCAAGATGAGGTGACCAGACCTAGTATAAATATAGAGACATCAACGCCAGATTGGACCATTAACATCGAAAAATTACGTTTCTTAATCGTTCTCCATAAAAAATAAGAAATCCATAAATAAGAAAAGTAAATGATAGAACAAAAAACAAAAATCTAAATACAAAAATTAACTATTGTGAAGAGATGATCGAAAAGCGGCGTCTAGTTGGCTTGGAAATGAACATCGATGACATTCCCCATAAAATTTTACATGTAAAATGACAGCGATTTTCATTTCATAGCCATCCCTGACGGCGTTTTTTTCAATCATATTGTACATATATATTTACCGCTAAAGTACTCGTTTATACCTATTAGATATACATACATTAAAATATTGGCTTATATACATGAATGCATGAATATGATATCTAAATTCTTCTCAGTCTATAATATTATAAAAAATCAACATTTTTTTTACGCTTTAATTTTATGTTTTTTTTAAATTTATTTTCAGATGTGTAGCTGATAATCAATTTTCTTCATCTAGTAACAAGAAAGGTGTCAGCTATGGTTCGAAAAATAGGAAAAAATCACTACATAGCGTCACCTTTGCGACACAATGAATCTCCAACACCTGTTCACGTGACCAGAAGTGCCGCATATTCTGATGGTGAAGATAGCCACAGAGCACCGTCAGAAAGAACTTTATCCGAATACACTTCAGTGGTAAGAACTATTTCCTCTATCCAATACCAGTTTCAATTTAATACCAAAAAGTACGCAGATCTTCATGCAAGTAATCGTAAATCGACAAGCTGGTTATAAATGGGCTGTGATTTAAACTTTACTTCAAACTTGATATTTTTTGTTATAAAATTTTTATCATTTCTAACCAATGATAACTAGCTTTTTACAAACCACTATTTTCAATTATTTTAAATTAAATGAGTCAGATAAACAAACAGAATAACTAATCGACATTGTACATTGTAGGTAACTACAAAATGAACCAAATAAACTAATAATTACCTAAATTCAAAGCTTGAGGCTATTAGTTTAGCTTGACCCTATCTATCAATTGCTACCCGTAAAACTTAATCCGATACTATAAAACCTTAGATCTTATTAAGATCTAAGTATAAAACTGATACGAGCTACAGCTTATCGAGCTTGTTACGATTGAGCCATTGAAAGCTCAAAGGGAAAGGTGCAAATGCATATTTACCTGGCGTAGAGGCTACCGTGATCAATAAGGCGGTTCCTCCGGAGTGAGGCCCTCCCATTGCACTACGGCTGGGCTGACCCCTGCGATTATCCCCATAAAATAATTAACTAGAAAGAAGTGTCAACTCTGTGTTAAATCGTGGAAACACGATACGCCACCGAAAGCCTTCGTTGTCGTCTGGAGAACTAGCTTTCCAATTGACAGGTTGACATGATGGCTTAATTTTCATTTCCGTTTCCGGTTATTCAATGGCGGGCCCTCTTTCTGTTCAAATGTATTTTGTATTTTTTCTTTTCATAAATAAAACCAAAAAATAATTTATTCACATATATTTATTTGAAATATGGAACAACGTGACTAAATAAATATAAAAATATAGAGGATTGTATTGTTTCAATACCAATTAGTTAATTATATGCACTTTTAACGTAAATTAGTTAAGGTATAAGCATGACTTACAGTAATTTGTAAATAAACACACGCATTCGCAAACTTCAAGGACAGAAAACGGACACAGGAACATGAAAACGGGAGCCTTATACAAAAACCTGAAAACAGAAAAACAATTTTTTTATACAAAAATTAACAATGTAAAAATATCAATAGGTATAAAATATAAATAAACTGTTTAAAAAAAGCGTCCATTATTCCCAAAGAACCTGGCTTATAAATCAAAAAGATGCAAAAAGAGACTTTTAGTCGGATAACATAATCAGATTATCAGTCCGATTTATTGCTTTATTGACAATAAATCGCACATACTGGAGATAACTAATGTTGGCTATAGTTAAAAATGATCTTACCTTGCTGTAAATTGTTTCCATTTTCAAAAAAATCGCCGATCAAAGAGATTATAACACCATTTTCTTGCATCTAAAAAATGTAAAAACAGTGTTTATTTACTACCTATTTTTGATATACATGGGACATACCTACTACTGCAGAAACGTCATTTTCTCCAGGATTCTTCATGTAATTTATATTTTATATACTTTATTACCTTTATATTTATAAATTTCAGCCGAAATATTAAATTGAACTTCCAAAACGAAACTAAACGGAATGAATTAAAATGGCGTCGAATATTTTCGAATTTGTTCTAGAACAAATCTGAAGTTGTCTCTGAAACTGAAATCTGTCAATTCTAAACTGTGAAGTTAGACAATAGTTAGACAAAAACAATGCTGTCCTTGTCTAGGCGGCCATACTTGTCGTGAGGAGAATGACAGGAATGACACTAATGACTGTTTCCAATTTTCCTATTTCACTGTCACCCCCCTGATTATCCCTAATGCGGATAACTCGGGCGCGTAATTTTTGGTAGTCGGGACTGCGTACGCGCTGTCCCGGTATTAAACTAAATTAAAAATAAATATAGCAATTTGCGTTTTCACAAATCCCTGTTCACTCCTATCGCATAATCCCCGATCTCCGCTTCCATATATCCTCTACCTCTGCATCTCTGCATATATCCATTAGTTGCTTCTTAAGTTAGGCAACTTATTTATGTATCTATATCTAGTGTTACGTAGCGTAACACTTGTCATTTACTTTATATTAGGCGTAAGCGTAAAGGTACGTTTAGACTCATGTTTAAACTTGAGCACGCACGAGCTGAGCGTACGCGCATGGCATTCGTTTGCGCTCTCGGCTCCGTTTAAATTAAAAACTTATTTTTCGACGAATGAAGTGGTCCACATCCACTTGTGCGCGCACAGCAGAGTTGTTTCATGCCGATCAATATTTTTTTGACAACGGAGAGCTATGTCAGCAGAGGAGGGTTATGATCAGTTCAAAAACTTTACGAGAATGACCAGACCCAACTTTGAATATTTACTAAATTTAATTACACCAAAAAAGATAAAAAAAAATAGAATAACAATATCGCCAAGAGAACGCTGAGCCTTGACTTTACGTTTCTTGGAAAGTGGAGACCCGTATAGCAGCCTACAGTATCTTTTTAAAGTTTGTAAATTTTCATCGCCTATATTATTCCCGAAGTAGCGACTGTAGGTAAATTTGGTCTTGCCATGCGTCACTTTTTTTGGTTCTTGAATAATACGTAAAATGTTTTACATCCCAGAATTTTTTGCCGACCATACCAATAGGTATGGTAGGCTATTAAGATCGGCAAAAAAAAAGTTTTTTTTATTTCACTCAAAATGAGTTATTTGGGTCATAAATAACCTAAATACAAAATATTTTTATGGTGTCCGTCTGTCTGTCCGTCTGTAATACGATAACTCAAAAACCGCTAAACCGATTTTAACCAAATTTGGTACAAAAATACTTGGCACCCGAGAATATGGCCATTAGTTTTTGGTGGGGGTGGGGGATTGGAAAGGGGGTATGGGAGGGGGTTAAAAATTTTAAAAAATCGTAACTCCAAGATTACAGTAGCTAGCGAAACGCGGTTTTCAATTTACAATTAGGAATAATATTTGCAAAAAAATTTGTAATAACATCAAAATCAGTCAAAGTCGTAGTTTTTGACATATTCCGTGTTTCCGTAGTCCGTTTTTGAGAAAATCCGTGTGGAAAACTCCAAACTCCCACCGGACGCGACCCCAGGAGGCGGATAGGGGAAATAACCGCGGACCAAAACTGGAAAAAATCCTTTACTTTGAAACTGAAAGAACTGCCTACCAACTTTTTATTAACATACTAGCGTGTACCCGCGACTTCGTTCGGGTCGAATTAATCATTTGTAATGGTGATGATAAAGCAAAGCAAGAATTTCCATTAACATACAAACTGGATAAAATTTTCTCACATTTATGTCAGCATGGGAAAAAAGAATCGAGAAACCCCTCCTTATCGAACCTCTACACCCCACAGTCAATCCGTTTGCGAAAAATCAGCTTTAAACGTCAAGCAGTTTAAGCAGAATTGTGATTACTCTATGGTCATATTTTATGAAACACCCTGTATATTTTTTTTAAAAATCTTAAAATATGTAAAACAACAAAATAAAATATACGTGTTTAAGAGTTTTTCCGAAAAACTCACCGGTTTTTAAATAAAAAATATTCTAATATTTGAGGGGTGGTTTCACCCCCTTAAAATTTGAGTTTCGAAAAATCCCTTCTTATCGAACCTCTACACCCTAAAGTCAATCCGTTTTCCAAAAATCAGCTTTTTACGTCAAGCCCTTTAGCAGGATCGTGATTAATCAATGACTAGATTTTTCGAAACACCCTGTAGGTATACATTTTTAAACAATCTTAAAATATGTAAAAAAAACAGAATAAAATACACGTGTTTAAGCGTTTTTTCGGAAACTTAACCGTTTTTAAAACAAAAAATATTGTAATATTTGAGGGGTGGTTTCACCCCCTTGGAACTGGAATTTCTTTTCGAACTTATCGAACCTCTATACACTAGAATCAACCTGTATGCAAAAATTGAGCTTCTTACGTTGAGTGGTTTGAGCAGGATCGTGATTAATCAGTGAGTCAGTCACTTTTAATCAGTGAGTCAGATTTTATATATTAGCAAAGAATATTATAGTTAAGTAGAATTATCTTTGATATTAGTATAGATGGGGAATACAATATATATTTATATGAGGTTCCAATACCGGGTGCGTCTCAAAAGTGGCTCACCCCTATAACTTTTTTATTTTTTCAGATAAAAAAACGAGAGGTTAGTATATGACATAAATTAGGATTGATTGACATATTCACTTGTTTTCTGTCACTTCCTGTTTTGCCAGAAATGACTACAACTTTTGATTTTCAAATGGCATCCCCGGTATTTTTTTACTTCATTCGATAAAAAATGATATTCTGAATAGAATGACATATCATATGTCAACTTTTGACATTTTTGTTTAAAACAAAATTGAATTTTAAATTTCAATCTAGAGTGCCATGGCTGTGTTAAAAACACTAATTTTTAATCAAGGAGCCTTGGAAAAATAGATTTAATCGTATAATGTTATTCGTGTCTTGTCCTGGCTGGTTAAAAGATGCCCAAATCGTATTTTTAATCACATCTCAATTTTTTCAAATGGAACGAGGGTGGCTCATTAGCATATTTGGAAAAAGCATTTTTTTACGAATAATTTGATACCACACACTTGGTATTTCGAGTCAAATTATCGTTATAAACCGCATGTTATAATTTCAAAAACCAAACCAAACCATATGCGAAAATGTCAAAGTTGACATATGATATGTCATTCTATTCAGAGTATAATTTTCTATCGAATAAAGCAACAAAAAACCGAGGGTACCATTTAAAAATCAAAAGTTGTAGTAATTTCCGGCGAAACAGGAAGTGGCAGAAAACAATTGAATACGTCAATCAATCCTAATTTATGTCATATATTAACATACCAAATCTCCATTTTTTATCTGAAAAAATGAAAAAGTTATAGGGGTGAGCCATTTTTGAGACGCACCCGGTATATAATATATATTTTTATAAACAAAATATAATATTTGAATTAAAAAAAATAGTAAAAATATTTCTACATCATTTGACTAACGTTCACTTTGAATAAAATGTAGTGAAAATTAAGATCTAGTACTTGGCAACATTGTTAGGTGCCAAAAAAAAATACCGAAAATACTTGCTTCTCTTTCTTAACAGTTAATTTATGTATTTCTTTGGTAGACAAGGTTTGGTAGTTAGAAGAAGAAGATTTCCACAGACGACATCAGGAAATGACCGAAAATAAAATATGCCTCTGAATTAAAATGATAGACTCAATTGTCAGTCAGAGATCCTTCTCGTTTGCAAGTCATAGACTGTAAGCTAACCAAAATAAATGACTTAACCGTAACATATATTTTAAATTAAAAAATACAAGATAATATGTAAATTAAATCAAATATATTTATAATTACAGCACTTTCTAATAAATAGACATATATTGATAAATAAATATAATTAGTAGGTTATGTAATGGTTATTTCAATTATTAATTTTGTTGCTATGCTGTTTAATTACTTCTGTAGAATATGAATTAAATTTCTTCATATAGATAACGTTTAGTTTTGTTCGTGGACTAATAAATGACAAGACAGTCGGCAAATCTCAAAGATAAGTTTACAGAATACATAGTCAGACTTTATTATCTTAAAATAGTATAAAAAATAACAAAATTAAACAAAACTAAACAACAATATTACCAGATATTATTAG